AGAAAATATAATATGCAGAGCAGGTTTGGATTCGAAGGGAGGAGGAGTGAAAATTAAAGAAAGGAATATCAACAATCTAAGATATTCACATGACACCTTACTACTAGTAAAAGATAGCAAAGGCTTTGAATAACTACTGACAAAAAGACTGAGGGCCTCGGCAGAGGACTAATAGAATCGTCCTAGAGGCAGGGAAGAGGAGGGGCAGCCACACAATCAGCGCCCCTTCTTCCTCCCGAGGTTGCCCTCAGAGCTGCAGGCCCTCCGCATGGCCGGCGCTCCGAGGGCAACCTCCCGCCGCAGCATCCGCACACGCTGCGGTGGATAAGTCAGGGAAAGTACGCCCTACGCTTTTAGGGTGCACTTTCACTGACTTCTGAAAGGAGCGCTGATTTAGCGCTCCTTTCAGAGGCACCGACGGTGCGCCGTGGTATGGATGCCGCGGTCCCGTGGCGCACCATCCTGCGGCGTCTCGGACGCCCTCGTGTGCTTCCCTCCTAAGAAGAAAGTGCTATTGAACATTATGAAAACAAAAATAATGACCATTGATGATTTGCATAAACTCAGTGTAGAAGATGAGGAAATTGAAATACTTAAAGACTTCTGATACCTTGGATCAATTATTGATCAAAAGGGAGGTTGCAGTCAAGAAAGCAGAAGAAGACTGGGATATACAGTTGAAGGTGTTGCACTATAGGAATGGAAATAATATTTGAAAATATTTTAAATGGCTGAAAACTTGTTGTTTTTTAAGTATTGAAAAACCCTGACAAAAAGAATCCTAGACTAATGGGAATCTTCACAGCTCTGGACTTACTGAGAAAAATTTACACATGGTTGCTTTGCACAGAAATCTGCATTTTCTAAGCAGCATTCTTTTCTGCATAGAAAATAATATTTCAACACAGAAATATTACTTTTTGTACAAAAAGAATGTTTTCACTGCAAAAAATGCTGAGGCAATTGTGGTTTTAACATATTATGGGACAATGTGACTCACTGGAAAAGACAACACTGTTCAATTAAATGGAAGGCAATATGAAATAAAACCACGTTTGGATATATAGATTCAATAAAGAAAATCATAGCCCTGTGTTGTTAGGTCTGAGAAAAGCTCTTGATAACGAGGACTGATTGAAATCTTTCATTCATAGGGCCACCATAAGTGAATTGAGATGAGCCTGGTTTTAGAAACAGAGACAACATAATTAAATGAAAAATAGTTGTGATATTCTTAAAGAGACCTTGCATCCTCCAGCAGAAAATAAATAGGTACACATAGCAAGTACAACCCTGTAAGAATGGTAGTTAGTCAATCCTTTAATAGGACAGGAGACCAAACATATGGTTGAGGTGGTGGTTCCTTTCCTACCCATAGCTATGGACTTGCCCTAATGTAAGGCGCTTCTTTATATCTCTCTATGAACCCATTAAAGCACTAAGATCATTCAGAATAGGTTCTTCCCTCTGTCCCAACTTCAAAGATTCATTTGGTGGGAACAAAGGAAAAAAAAAACATGATGTGGTAGCTACTCATAAACTCTGGAACTGGCCCCATCCTTTCACTGGCAGGTAAAAATATTTTTGTGTCATCAGGTATTTTCAGACTGAAGAGGGATGGGCTTTTAAATGTTGTGCAATTCAGATGTTAAGTTTTAAAAAAAACTACATTTTAATATTTAAATATGTAATGTTTTTAACTTGATAAATTGTTTAATTGCTTTTTTAAACTTTATATTTATGCTTTTGCATTTTTTAAATTTTACTATTTTATATTTGTTGTTAGCTACCTTGAGTATTTCTTGTTAGCTACCTTGAATATATTTGTTGTTAGCTCCCTATACTAAGAAGAAGGTGAGTTATAACAATGACAATGACAATGCATTGCTCCTTTGCACAAGCATTTGTATCACTATTTTCACTTTACCCTCTATAGCCCATTTTCTTCTGCTGGCCCACATTTCTGGTTCAACATTTTCTTTATGATGTGCTCAGACATACTTTGTCCCTCAAGAAATTATTTGGCCTCTGGCAGATGCCTGCCCTGTGTGTTTGTTCACTCTAAACCAGGGGTAGGCAACCTTTCCTCTTTAAGGGCCGAGGGACTTCAGCTCCCAGAATCCCAGGAGCTATTGGCCAACATGGGACTATTGGCCAACATGGCTGAGGCTTCTGGGAGCTGAAGTCCCTCGGCCCTTAAAGGGGAAAGGTTGCCTACCCCTGCTCTAAACTAAACTATCTTTTCTGTTTTAGCCCAGAATGTGAAAGTCCCTCCACCCATTTAGGGCCTCGGAAG